AGCTGTGGTTCATTTTTCCAGTTTAACATTTTTTTTTTCGTTAACACTTTGATTTTGATGAATACTTGTTATTAAACAATAATTATAGAACAGCAATTGGTTTGCGAGTAAATGATGGCGTTGTCTTAGCTGTTGAGAAATTAGTCCAATCAAAGTTACTCGTACCCGGTTCAAATAGAAGAATTCAAACTGTTGACATGCATATTGGCGTGGTATGAGCATAATGACATCTCGCATGCATCATTTTTTAACAAGAATTAGTTCGTGAAATATGATTGATAATTTTCAAATTTGAAATACCACAATCATTATATACTAAATCAGGCAACGGCTGGATTACTAGCAGACGGCCGTCATATTATCAATCGCGCCAGAGACGAGGCAGAAAACTACAAGGATGTATACCATTCCCCAATTCCTGGAAAGGTACGACCATTATTAATCTCTTCTAAAGAATTTCAAGATGTTAATCAAAAGATAACAGTTTGGGCTCATATACAGACAATTGCAGACAGAGTTGGACAATATGTACAAGCTTATACATTATATTCTAGCGCACGTCCGTTCGGTAGTAGTGCTATCATTGGAACTGTTGATAAAGATGGACCACAATTGTTTATGGTTGAACCGTCGGGTGTCTATTGGGTATGTCTTGTCATATTTAGCAATCAATTTATTTAAATAGCAATAAATAATTAGCTATGGATGTATTTATTTAGGGATATCATGGATGTGCGATTGGGAAAGGAAAGCAAGTGGCTAAAACAGAAATTGAAAAGCTGAAACTTAGTGAAATGACCGCATTGGAAGCTGTCAAGGAAGCTACTAGAATGTAACTTTTATTTCGTTATTCCATTCTCAAACAATAACTCTATCTAATCTTATTCAAAAAAATAAAGCATTTATACTGTTCACGATGACGCCAAGGACAAAGAATTCGAACTAGAATTGAGTTGGGTAACTAATGATAGCAAGCGACATGAATTCGTCCCCACTGAAATAGCACTGGAGGCTGAAAGATTGGCCAAGGTTAGTGTCGATATGCAGGTTTTTTGCGAGAATATTTTTTAATCCATGTTTTTTGTATTTTTAGGAAACATTAAATGAAGAAATGGAAGACGATTAGAATTGATATAGAAATTTTTTAATAAGTTAATTTTTGCTCGAATGGGAATAATAAAAAAGAATTTAATTTCGAATCCATCTTTTTACAGAATAACTTGTGCAATGTCTGAAAAGAAATAGTTATTTTGCGATGATCAAAATTTAGCTTTAAACACAAATTCTATTTATTTCATATTTATATACGTGTAGCTATAATGGCAAAATACTGGTATTTATAAAAAAATATTACTGGAATTTTTAAAATGAAAGGACGGGATGTGATATTTGTATTATTATATAAAATTTCCTGGCACCTGACTATTTGTTTGTGATGATAAGGTAGATATCAGGATTTGATCAAATTTTTACTTATTTAAATTTATACTTGTTTTCCTTATTGGTAGTTCTATTTATAATTTATCATCTTTATTCATTTATTAAATTAGCTAAATGTTAATATTATTAATCTTAACTTTACTAATTTACTAAGATTTACTTTATATTATCTTTTAGCTTTTTAGAACAAGACTTTTTTACTTGAATTCTTTATAATAAGTCATATATTCTTTATATGTATGAGATATTTAAGTATAATAAGAAAGCTTAATAAAAATATTAGATTGAATAAAGACTTCTGCTAGAATGTGATTCAATTCAGTGTGTTTTTTTAATATAATATAAATAAGTTATCTTAATAAGTTTAGTAACAAGAATAATTTATTGATAAAAAGAATATAAATTAATATTTGATTTATTTTTCATAAAATATTTATAAATATAAAAAGAAAGAAATTTAAGAGAAGACTTAAATTGCAATTTAAATTATAATTTATAATTATTGAAATTATCATATATTTAATATTTCTTGTGATTATTCTTTTCAAATTCTATTTG